TTTTTTTTTTTTTTTGGGTAATAAACAAGCCAAACGAACTACTAATTTCCATTTTAGCATACAACATGAATGTTCAAAATCTCTACAATTAAGCTAAACACTCCCCTATGGACTGAATTCCAAGACATAAGTACACAACTTACTAGACTACAAAAAATAAACAATAAAATACTAATTATTAAATTAATAGAATTTTACATGATGAAAAACATTTTTTCATCTAATAACTATTATTTTGTAGCAAGAAAAACACAAACTCTAAAATAAAATAAAAAACTGAAAAATGTAATGGGTCAGATAGTCCATGCACATCACAAATGAGCGCCCGTGAATTGCTCTCGGGATTTTGTCAAACAAAATCCCAATTTGCATTCATGTATTTTCTTCCATTCTATTTGGCGTTTCTGTTGAATAATTCCAAATGGGTGTTATGTCATCCCTTCAAAGACCCCCCATTTACCCCATCTATTAATGGCCCCTGGCTCGTCTCTTGGAGACTGTAAAGTCTGATCCCTTTCGTCGTTGTTAAGAACTTTTTATCTGACACTCTTTAATTTAATGAAAGTTATGGACGTGTTGGATATTTTTGTTACATTTGAAAAGACTAGGAACTAAATTGACTGGTTTTGGAAGTTGGGGATCATATTGCAGATGGCTGAGGACAAAAAATATTGAATTTTTTCTTTCAACCTCCCATATTTTGTAATTTTCAAAGTAAAAACTTCACTAATGCATTAGCTAGGTCATTAATTACCTGCAAGGGTGTTTCCTCATCTAAAGGAGAAAATTTTGCAAAGTTGCAAGACTCTGGTTGATCTTTATTGCTAACGAAATGTGCTGCAAATTGTGCAAATTGTTGTGGCTCGGTTTTGTTAATCACATCTATTTGTCCTTCCTCAAACAATTTTAGTACACATCCAGACGCCACACTATTTGATGTCATTCCCTTCATGTTACCTAATAATCCCAATAGCTGCAAGAAAACAAAAAAAAGGACTATATTGCTAAAAACGTAAAAATATGTGGGGCTAAAGGTATGTATACCATTTTATGTATAAAAACAAAAATTAAATTTACTCAACCTGCAAAGGTATGCAAATCTCACCTCGAAAAAGGAAACTGAAATCCCACAGAAAGGAAAGAAAAATAAGATTATTGGGGAAAAAAAAAGGCAATAAAATGTTATATTAAAAGTAATATTGGAGGTATAGCAGAAGGTATGAGTGGAAGTATACCTGGGAAGAAGTCAGTATCCACTGAATAGTTGGACAAAGGAATGATAAAGGATTTGATCCTTGAGGTACAGTATTTTGTTCTTGCTGCCATCTTTGAATTGCTCTGTTAATTTTATAGTTCATTTGAGGTCAGAATGCCCATTTTTACTAAAAGTGGAAAGCAGAGTGCATAAAGACAGAACAAATTAACTCTCACTTTATAAAATGTCCTGTTTTCTTAGCCAATAAATATGCTTCATTGTTTGTAGTAATTGAAGGCTATCTTCAATTAAGGATTACAATTAAAGGTAGAGGTCCAAAGTTCAAACTTAGAATGAGAAAAGGTGGATCCTCTGTTTATATAGACATGTTGAAGTTGAGAAGATGGAAGTGTACCTGGATGAGAAGGTAGCTTTTGCCATCCATGGCATTTTTGATGACTTTGAATGTCTGGCCATAATATATGTGGAAATTCTGTGCATCTTCAACTTTGGAAATGTTACTTACCATCACAGTTGTAGCACCATCTGCAGCCAATAAGCATCCATAGCTCAAGAACCAAGCCAGGAACAAGAGTAGCCAAGAAGAAGAATCATGAAAACCCATGTTCTGCCTATAGCTTTTGCTACTTTGATAGTGAGACAGAGTGAGAGAATGATGAGTTTTTTAAGGGAACGGTGGTGGTGGTGTGGTGGATGGTGGGGTCATGTGTGGCTCCTTTTTAACTTGGCTTGGCAATCAAAATGGCAACCCGTGAACCCATGCTTTCATTTCCCTTTTTGTCATCTTCTCTCCATTTCTTTCCATTTGTTTGCAACTTCTTACTGTCTGTGATCCCATTCAAACCCATGTGCTATGCACCACCACTACCTACCTAATCTCTTTTCTTTTTTCCTTTTTTTTTTTTCACAATTCTCACTCAATTGGTATATAAAAATATCTCAAGTTTAAATATTAAAACAAGTTCATTATAACTATATAGTCCAAGAAAGGAAACTTCTATCACATATTATATAGGGTATATACTAAAAAAATTTATATTATAATATCTGGAAATTGCTAGAGGTACAGGAGTCATTCACGGAAATTGAATCAAAGCTTCATCATGAAGCAATTAAGTCCCTTTGGACTCTTAGAGCAAGGACAGCGCCATTGAGTCACTTGCTCCTTGGCATCACATGAGACATTTGAAATCTTTTAGCAGAGTATACTGTATCCCTACCAAAAAGGAAAATTCTTTCTTTTGTGCAAGAAGCCAAGAATTAAATCCATACCGAATCCACAAAAAGCCTGGTAGAGCACATATATATCATGGAGCCAGCCGGATTATCTCAAGTAATGAAAATCATGAATCAAAATCATAAATTTGATTAGAAGGAGAAATTTTGTAAAAAATATGTCAATTACAATATTATTTCACATAAAAACTACAGTATATAAGGCTATGTTATGCCTTAATTTCGATTAGTAGCAACAGTTAGATGTCATGTAAGTTAATCATCAAATCAAGAGAGGGTTAGTATAATCCGCCCCCCAACATTGTACACAAAGGGCCAAAGAAATTGTGAGGAAAAATCCTAACTTCTTCAAGAGCTTGCCATTTGCATTAACCGTCAAAAGCTTTCCTTTCTTCTCGTTCCCCAATTCTGATTCTAGTTTTCCATTGCCCTCTATGCATGGCTTCTCATTCATGAGATTTTCCTCATCATCCAGAGAAAAACAATGCATCAAGAGAAGAAAAATTCCGAAGAGGGCTGCAGCGGCTAGCTGAGCGAATGACTTGAACTTTCTAAAGAAACTAATTCCATGATTAATCTCTGCCTTCTGATCAACGTTGAAGTTTAGGTGGACTTTCACTGTCTGAGAAGGCACTATTTGGTGAAAGAATGTCTCTGCTGCTTGCCGTGTAGAAATGAACATCCCTCGACTAACTTTGATCTCCTCAACAACCTCAAAGCTTGGTGAGTTTGTGTGATTATCATCCGCTTGGCCCTCATCTAAATAGTTTTCGTTGTTATCATCAATGAATCCAAGCGCAAAGTCATTTATGTCATTGTCATTGAATTCTGTTGAAATTCAATACAATTGTTAATCCAAAAAGAAGAGGAAAAATTGAAGTTGTTTAATTGGCATTGATGAATGATGTGGTTTTGATGCTATACTTTAGTTACCTGGAAATTGATTTTCTTCTTCCTTTCTCCGAAAACTAGAAATAGTTTCTATTGGAACAATCTTATGTTCTTCCATGCAACTCTGCAACACAAGGAAGCAAAACGCATATATAAACAAGGATTCCAAATTGTATATCGTTTAGAAATGAGTTATGAATTAATTATACTGTACAGTTAGTCATGAAAAGGGAGTGCACCTGGTCTAGATCTTTGTGGAGCCATCTCAAATTTTCGATCATCCTCTCTGCCTTAAAATCTTCGTCTAGATTACCTCTCTGTACTGTCCTTGTGTTCATCTCCTCGAATTGAGTTTGGTATGTCTCTTTGGGGGTCATGAAAGAGAAATCATGAGCATTAGGAGGTGTAGTGCCCCAATACATGTTTTGATGGGCTGGTTGATTTGTCATTTGCTGAGAAGCATGAGCTACAGAAAGAATCTCCTGCAAAATATCAGTACTTTCATTTTGGCCTGATGAAGCCGGCCGCTCGAATTTGTAGTCATGAGTTAGTCCAACTTGAGGGAAGTCTTCAACTACCAACGGTGGCAATGACAACCGATGCTGCAACCTTGCACATTCTAATGCAACATCGACCTGCTAAACAATCAAAGTACAGCTGGTTTTAGTTGTAGAATAGAAAGATATATAATAAACTCAAATTTTTTACCTTTAAACATACATTGGAAGGAGGATGTAAGGCTCCATAATTTGAAAAAGATGGTGAGGCAAAGCTAAATGCATCTTCACAAGCATCAAGGGATGATCTATGACCGATTTCAGGGGAACATGTATCAAATGGAGCCATGGCATAATCCGAGCTGTCTTCGCATCTTCCCTGATCAGAATACAACTCAACACTAGAAGAATGCTCACTAGTTATCTGTTTAGCAGCTCTAGTTGCATAATCCATCTCCTCAGCCTTTGGAACAGGCGTCACACTTTTCTTGAATATGCGACAAAGTGCATATGCATCCTGAAACAAAAATTAATATATTTTTAAGTTCAAATTTTAAGACGGATGAGATATGTATAGCTCTATGAAAAGATAAAAAGATAATTCAGACTGACCTGGAGACCTAAAGAAGAAGATTCGCATTCTTTCTCGTCAAGACGATATTCATGCATGACCCAGTCGGTTCTGGAACCGTGGGGTGCTCTCCCACGATAGTAGACTAGGGTTTTCTTCATGCCCACGGCTCGCATCTGAGAGTTAACTTTTCTGTCCTTACCGGTGGCTTTCCAATATCCAGCTTTTGTTGCACGGTTAGTCCTGGATCCATTTGGGTACTTCCGATCTCGGGGACTGAAGAAATACCATTCAAGATCTTTGCTGGGTAACAATGACTTTGCTGCAATATTAACCAATAAAGAAAAAAAGAAAAGGGTTTAAAGGAGGATAATTTGATTCTGCAATATTGGGAACTAAGATGGATTTGGTTTCAGTACTTGTTCAAAGAGATGAAAATTAAAGCATCACTTAATTTGATTCATATATCTCTTAAAGACAAAAAATGAAATCCCTTGCTTTGACATTAATTAATTATCTTCTGCAGTTCTGCTTCCTTTTCCAATGTTGTTTTAAGTTTTTTTGAGAAATGATTTAACTGAAGGAACAAGAAATTAAGCCCTAATGATCATCAACAAAAATAATATCCGGATTCCAAACTCATCATCGATCTCTTTTAACTTTAAATGATGATCAACGTGTATATATATATATGTTTTCATTACTTAGGTTTTCGTTTTCTTCTTTTCTTGCTTTTCATGATATTCCTTATTCTTTTCTTTACCTACATTCAAAGGTACGGAAAAACAGAACAATAAGAAAAACAACTTCAATATCAACAATATAGAGTAGGATATTATCTGATTTGATATATATTCACCAACTTCAAAAACTTCAAGTTAGAATATGATTAAGATTATGAATTGAAATCTTTACAAATGTTAGTATATAATTTAACTTTCTTTGTACTAGAAAAAATAATAAGTAAAAGGAAAAAAAAAATTTATGTAATAATACCTGGTAAGTCCCAAGGCTCACACTTGTATAGATCAACTTCAGGAATGATCTCCAACTCAATCTGACGCCCATTAATCTTCCTCTTCAGATAATACACCACTAGTTCCTCATCAGTAGGATGAAAACGAAAACCAGGAGGCAATGAAACAGGAGCCATCGATCTCTCTCTCCTTCTATATGGCTGTAATTCTTTTGGTTTTGAAATATGGTCTAAGAAAGAACAAAGAAGACAAGATGAGAGTGGATGAGAAGATATGGGAAGTTGGAATGGCGGGTAGGGAAGGGAGGGGTTTGGGGGGTGGGGGGGATTGATATGAAGACAAAAAGAGAGCGGAGGAAAAGGCAAAAGTAAGCCAACCCACCGCGTTCCCTTTTGCTTTTTTAGTTTTTAGTTTGTTTTCTTTTTTTTTTTGTTTATTTATTAACGGTGTCGTTTGGTTGAAGACTGACCGATTGCGTTCTCTCTCCAATTATCCCATGCTTCGTATATTGTCCTTTCTTGGATTCTGATCTCCACGTGGCTACACGTCATTCGAGGCCTTTACCGACCTTTTGCATTTAACCAACTGCTTCCGAAGGCATAGGTTGTAGAAACCGAACTTCGGCGGCGCTCCAAACTCACTTGCTAGTGGGTTCCAGATTTTCAACATTTGTAGGGGTGGTTGGATGAGGCTTTATTTTTTTTT